TTGATAAAAATTAGGTATAAAATTTTTTTTTAGGTTCCAATAAGTCATTTCCGTTAAATTTAACGAATTCCGTCACCTTTACAATTCAGTTCAAAGCATGAGGTGTCGTGTTGTATATTTTGAAATCATAAGAGGTTTTTTTGTGTATTAGGCTTATCACAGGGGGTTTTTTTGTTTTTTACCCTTAATTATATTGAAGTACAGAATTGGTTAAAGATCAAGAGGTGATAATTATATTGAAGTGCATACTTACTTGAAGATCGTGAGGTGTTTTAGATAAAAAAAAAAAATAGAAGACTTAACACTTTTTCCCCTCAACAATTTTTTTTTCCGTTAGTTTATCTCCTTTAATTTCTCTTTCATAACATGTCTTAAAATACCCACTCTAGTTTTTCTTGTACTAAAATACCATTATCAACTGTAATGTATTTAGCGTATCCATCCTTAAATAATTGACAACTTAAAAAAAGAATTTCGATGTTTATAATTCTATTTATACATGATTGACATGAAATATTAGTCAAAAGCCAACACTTAAAGCAATGATCTAATCATCCAAGTATGCATTGATCCTTTCCCAAGTTCGTTTAACTTATCTCAAATATCCACCATTCCTAAAACTCCAACGTTTTTTTCCAAGGCAACTCTAATTTTTTTTCTTTACAATTGCTTTGTATTTTATATCATAATTATTAATTTTTTAGACACTTATACTTATTTTAGGTTTGTGATTTAGAAATTTTTTGACAATTATTAATTTATCAATTGTTCTTATTCTAAATTTATGTCTTAGAAGTTTTATGTTAATTTGTAAAGGGTTAATTTTTTTTATTGGATTTAGTTAATATTTATCTGGTTTGTGAGTTAATTTTCATATTTTGCTTTGGACTTTATCTTTTACTATTAAAAATATTTTGTTGTTAGTTATCGTCTATTAAACTTTGGTTTTAAATTTTTGATTTCAAGTTAATGTGCATTATTTGTTTTGATTTTTTTTTGGTCACTTGTTGTTTGATCTTTCGCCCCCCTCTTCTCCAAACCAAAATCCTACATTCATCATTGGTTATCTTTAGTGAGCTATAAAAAAATTTATTATTGCAGGGTTTGTGACAAAATAACAGAAGGAATGTCCTAGAAAGAGCTGGAAAATCAGAGAAGGAGCTGTCCTAAAAGCATGATTTGGAATGTGTATAGTGATGAATTCTTTAATGTAAATGTTGCCGAACTCATGAAGTTGAATTGGTTCTTTGTTTTTGGTGGATTGATTATTTAAAGTTTTGCCACTATTGTTGATTCTTTTTCTGGCTTAACACAAATCTTCGGTAATCAGCGTAGAACGAACGTTGTTTTATAACTCTTTGTATTTGGAAACTGCTGACATGTTCGCTTTTGGCTGAGCTGTAGTAGAAAGAATCTCCCTGAATGATGTGTACTTTATCTTAAGGGTAATTTACCAAATTGGTCCCTAACATTTACCAAAAACACTTTTTTAGTCCTTAACATATAAAATCAGCCAAAATGATCCTTCACATTTAAATTATGAGCCAATTTGGTCCTATTGCTCGTTTTTGCTCATTTCTCCGGCTAAAAATAGCACGCCCCCCTCACGTGGTCATATTTTTAAGGGCAAAATCGAAAAACACATTTCATTACCGGTTGAAGGTAAAAGGATAGGGGACCACCACCAAAATACACATTTCACCTTTGGCCCTCAAATTACAATTTGAAGAAACCCTAATTGAATCCCCAAATTAACAAGCATAACTTGGAAATGTACTGCCGATGATGATGACGACAAATCTGTAGGGTGTGATTGAGAAAAGATTGAAGGTTTGGCCAGAAAATCGTGAAGAAAATTAAGAGGGCATGTACACACACACACACACACACACACACAAACAAGATGCAATGACGATTCTGACCTTTCACAAAAAGCGGTAGCTGGAATCCATCGCCGTTCGGAAACCATCCCTGTGGAAGTAGAAAATCAGCTCCAGTCGCCAGCCTAGTAGAAGGGGGGTTGCAGAATCTGGAACAGGACTGGACATAAATCGTGACGGTGCTTGTTTTGTGAGGTAGGCGGCATGGAGTGGGAGGCAGAGCAGAAAGAATTGAAAGAAGCCGGAGCGGAGTTGCTGCCGGACGAGCGGGTTGGACTTCGGATACATGGATGGGAGATCGAGTCTTCCAAAGCTTCCATCCTCAAATCCCTCCGGCGCCAAGAGTAACTACCTCTCTCTATCTCTTCTTCCCCTTCCCCCAACCAACAAAAAATCAGATGCCTCACCCTTACCCCCCCTCCCCAAGTATTACAACTATTTTGTAAGTATCTGATTGCAGGTTTCCAAGAAGTCACAATGATGGGTTCCTTTCCACAAAGACATCACTCGTTTGGATCCATTTTACTCTTCAAAGGTCAGCTTCTTCTTTCCAATTTCTTGCTACTGTATTTTCCCTCTTCAATTTCATGGGTTAGTGAGGTGACTAGATGAAGGAAAGATGGCTTCTTTCGACCGGTAATGAAATGTGTTTTCCGATTTTGCCCTTAAAAATATGACCACGTGAGGGGGGCGTGCTATTTTTAGCCGGAGAAATGAGCAAAAATGAGCAATAGGACCAAATTGGCTCATAATTTAAATGTGAAGGATCCTTTTGGCTGATTTTATATGTTAAGGACTAAAAAAGTGTTTTTGGTAAATATTATGGACCAATTTGGCAAATTTTCCTTATCTTAATTGGTTACAGCAACCGAAGTTTATTCTGAAGTTATCACTGTTTCATGATAGGATGAGTGGACAAGGAGAACTAATTCTGGCTTCTGAATGAACCTAAAACGAGCACCGTGAACTAAATGCTGTTGGATTAGGGGTGCAAACGAGTTAAGTCGAGTCGAGTCAAGTTTTGGTCTAATTGAGTCGGGTCTCAACTTAGTGTTATAAAACTTGAACTCGACAAACTTAAAATGTAAAGTTTGTGCTCGAGTTTAAAAAACATATATATATATATATATAATTATTTTATTTTTAAAAAATAAATAAAATAATAATTTTTAACAAATAATAAAATATTAGAAACATATATGTAATGTTATTATTAATCTATATATATGTATATAGATGTATGTGTGTAATCAAACTGACTCGTGAATTAACGAGCTGAATATGTGAGAATTCAAATTCGACTTGATCAGCTTGAATTTGATTAGAGTTGCTCACGAGGTTGGGGGGTGTTGGCATCCGCATCACTTGTAAAGTTTCGCATTCGACCTCGCGTACATCATTCACGTTTGTACGTCTTTGGTTGTGGACTAAAATGTTCAATATATTACTCTCATTATGAACTCGATCATGTGCATTGAAGTTCAATACTGAGTATATTTATCGTTGTAGAATATATGATTGTTGGTTTGAACAATTCTTAGTTTATCACCAAGGCTGTGAAATCACTGTTGAAAGGTTACGACTGGTGACTCGTAATCAGATGGTACTTTGTTAACTACGCAGTGCTTAATCAGTGGCTGCAGCATAGTAGCATATTTTTGTTCCTTTCTCCACCATACCAAATCAACGCCAAATGTCTAAATGGTGTTGTGGGTACATTGGTGAGACAATTTACTAAAAGATTGAACCAAGGCATTGAAAAGCTTTATCGGTTTAAGCAGGATGATGTTTCTTTTTTGTTTGTACTGACCCCTTCCTTCTGTTTAGTTTACAATATTACATGGATCTAATTGGGCTGCTGCTTCTGATATGATCCCAAAAGTACATACTTTCTAGGGTGGCAGATGAATATTTCTCGAGTTGGAGTTGAAGCTTATCACTCAATGTGTAGCTACTCTGCTTATGATCCTTCATTCCTATCTCTCTCTGTTTCTTTCTTTTGAAGCGGTACCTCCAACGGACTAACAAATGAGGTGAATTCCCATTTAGTCTTTTTCCAATTTGATTGTGGTCATAGTTTATTGTCCCTCTTTTCCAACAATTCATTCAGATATATTCCGATGAAAGGGTTCCAGCATTCAATCAGTAAAGATGAAGGCCCCATCAACAACACTGATTAAGAAAATTCAGGCGAAAATGCAAAGCAACTTTGATGGCAAAAGCAAATCACCTGCGCTTCTGAACACGGATTGAGGGCTTTTATAGTCCATCACACGATTCTTGTTATTTTTTGTTAATATTAGAAGTAAACATGCATCTACGTGAACTATCTCACTGATTATGCTGATTGTACACCTTCAATGCAACAAATGTACAATTTAAGCACGACTTTGTGCTGTCATCAATATGTAAATAAAGGTCACATTGTGGTTAATATTTTCCTTAATTTGTCTCATGCAACTATGCCTAATAAAATTCACTTTGGAAAAGCATTAATGAGAAAAAGGAGAAGACCCCAGCAGCAAGCCAAGCACCTTTATTCCTTTGGAACCTAAAGCATCCAACTATGCCAACGAAGCACTGCTCTACACGAATTGACGGCTCATTATTTCTTGTAACCCATAAATATCTCACTGGTTAGTGTGAATGCAGCAAATTACATTTGTATGTACAAAATAAGCATGAATTTGTGCTGTAATCAATATGCAAATGAGAGTCACATTATGGTTAATTAATCTTGGCCATAAATTATCTCGAGCCACAAAAGTTACCCCTTATCAAATTTCATAAGTGAAACAGTTTGACAAAAACAAGGGATATGTAACTGTGGATGTCCTTTTGATGTGAAGATTGAAGCAAATGCATCTTTCAAGTTACTAATCCCCAGACTTCATTGATAAAAAAGAAAAAAATTTTAAGAAGGAAAGAAAATTGGATTGTAAGTCTTAAATGCGACTTCAATTCCCCATGAAAGTGGATACAGAATCCTTGGTTTTATAAAGTTTAAAAGGAGCAAGTCTGAAGATTTTACAATAGAAGCAAATATCTGATGATTATTTCTTTCAGAAAATACACGTTCAAGTAATTTGAGATCACAAGTTTGGTTATTGAGACACAAAGCTATAAACCATCCACTTATGTCTTTATTCTTAACCAGCCAAGAAGCAAAGTAGCTCGTCCAAAAAGAAGATTCCCTGTTTGTTTGTAACACAGGTTTCTTTACCTAATAGGATTATTACTACAGTTTAGTTTAATTTTCAATGCTTGAGGCTCGCACTATAGAATTAGCAGTAGCTCTAGAAGTCTTACCTTAGAAGCACTTCAAATTCTTTTCTTCTCCAAACATTTCTGCTTTTAGCTGCTGAAGCTGAAGAATTCCTTCTTATCTCATTCCAAAATCCATCCTGATCACCACCTTAATTGATTCTTTTCTTCTAATTTCAATTCCAAGCAAGAAAAAAAATGGCCGATGCAGCTATTAGCGCTACTATTCAGGTTGCATTGGAGACGGTTATTTCCCTTGCCGCTGATCGTGTTAGTTTGGTTCTTGGATTCGGAGAGGAGTTGGAGAGACTACGCCACACTGCAGAAACCATCCGAGGTATCCTGGCTGATGCGGACAGGAAAATGCATATTGCCGGGGTGAAAAATTGGCTCGAGCAGCTTGAAGGAGAGCTTTTTAAAGCGGAGGATGTGCTGGACGAGCTCAACTATGAAAATCTTCGTCGGGAGGTGAAGTACAGAAATCAACTCAAGAAAAAGGTATGCTTCTTCTTCTCGTACTTTAATACAATTGGTTCTCGTTCAAGGTTGGCTTCAAAGATCAGGGACATCAACATGAACCTAGAAAGGATCAATCGGCAAGCAAATGATGTGGGACTGGTCTTCCGGTTCCAAATTGAAGCCGCACTCCCTGCTGCTACTGGTGCCACAACAAGCAGACAAACCGACTCTATTCTCGTTCCAAATGTTGTAGGAAGAGTCGACGATGAATCAAAGATTGTGGACATGTTATTGAGGCCATCTGAAAAGGTTCTTTCTGTTATTCCCATAACAGGCTCAGGAGGTTTGGGAAAAACAACTCTGGCGAAATCAATCTACAATAATCCAAAAATAGATGGGCACTTTGGCCAAAAAATTTGGGTTTGTGTGGCTAAAGAACAAATTAAGATAATGGAGCTGTTCAAGCTCATTTTAGTACAATTGACAGGAGAAGAAGTTAAAGTGGATGACAGGAATGTTATCGTTAAAAATATTGGAGAAAAGCTCAAGGGACAAAGATATTTCCTTGTTCTTGATGATGTGTGGGATCATGATCAAGGATTGTGGAATGATTATTTCAACACTTTGATGGGACTCAACGAAACCAAAGGAAGCTGGTGTCTTCTTACTACTCGGTCGAAACCAGTGGCTGATGTTGTATCTACACATTTGAAGATGAATAGCGGTCCTTATTTCTTAGGAAAGCTATCACGTGATGAGTGCTGGTCCATCATAAAAGGAAAGGTGATGAGTGCAGGGGAAGAAGTACCAGAAGAATTGGACGCATTGAAGAAGCAAATTTTAGGGAGATGCGATGGCCTACCCTTGGCAGCAAGTTTGATTGGTGGCTTGTTGCTTAACAACAGAAGAGAGAAGTGGCACTCCATTGTGCAAGAGAGTCTTTTGAATGAATGTCAAAGCGAGATTGAGCAAATACTTAAGGTGAGCTTTGATCATTTGTCACCTGCATCAGTTAAAATATGTTTTGCATATTGTTCAATTTTCCCCCAGGATACAGAATTGGAACAAGATCTATTGATTGAGCTTTGGATGGCGGAAGGTTTTGTTCAACCATATCGCCAAAACCAAAGGCTGATGGAGGAAATAGGGGGTGATTATTTTATGATTTTGTTACAAAATTCCTTATTGGAAAAAGTAGAAGAATCGTGGCGGGGAACATATTATTATAAAATGCACGATCTCGTGCATGATTTTGCAAAATCAATTCTCAATCCAGAAAGCAGCAATCAGAATCGCTACCTTGCATTGGGCTCTTTTGAAGGTTTGGCAGAAAATACCACAAGGACAATACCAGCATCAATTCGCACATTATTTCTCCATCTAGAGGGTGGCGTATCTACTGACATGCTTTTAAGATTCAAGTGCTTGCATGTTCTCAGATTGTCTGGCGATGATGTCGAGTCTCTACCGAGCTCCATTGGCAAACTACTACATTTGCGGTTGCTCGACATTTCATCTTCTGGAATCAGAAGTTTGCCAGAATCTCTTTGCAAGCTATATAATTTGCAGACACTAACGATTAATGATTATGCACTTGAAGGAAGTTTTCCAAAACGGATGAGCGATTTGATTAGCTTGCGACATCTAAACTACAATCATTATAATGTAGAATTAAAAATGCCGGTGCAGATGGGACTATTGACTTGTCTTCAAACTCTGAAGTTTTTTAATGTAAGTCAAAAAAGGGGATGTGGTATCGAAGAGCTTGGGACCTTGAAATATCTGAAAGGATCGTTGAGTATAAGAAATCTTGGACTAGTGAAGGGCAAAGAAGCAGCTAAACAAGCAAAATTGTTCGAAAAGCCAGATCTGTCCGACTTGGTGTTTAAATGGGAGAGTGGGGATCGGGAAAGCGATAATCGTGAGGAGGATGTGTTGGAAGGTCTCCAACCTCACCCAAATTTGCAAGGGTTGGAAATTCATTCTTTTATGGGTAATAAATTTCCACAATGGCTTATCAATTTGTCAAAATTGGAGACATTGCGGATAGAAGACTGCGAGAGATGCAGTGAACTCCCCTCATTAGGACAACTACCATCCCTCAAACGTCTCTCTTTGATAAGATTGGACAACATTCGATTTATTGGAGATGAATTCTACGGTATTACTGCTAATGGGGAGGAGGAGGAGGAGGGCAGATCACGAGCATCAGGAAGCAGCGCTAGAAGGCGAAAATTCTTTCCTGCCCTTGAACAACTCTATGTACGAGATATGAAGGAATTTGGTAGACTGGAAAGGTGCAGACCAAGTGAGGTCAACAGTAGGTGAAGCAGAAGCAGATGTCTTTCCCCTGCTGAGGAATTTTTACATTCAAGATTGCCCACAACTGACCACTCTTCCATGCTCGTCTAAAAGTCTACACGTGGAGAATTGCAATAATCTAACAAGTATAAAAACGGGTTACGGCACTGCTTCTGTTGAGGATTTGAGGATCGACTCTTGCGACAATCTTAGGGAGCTGCCAGATCTGGATCTGTTTGGATCGAGTTTGCAGCGATTGACCATCTCATTTTGCCCAAGATTAATTAGTCTAGGAGTAAATGGACAGAAATGCCCCCTACCATGCCTTGAGCGATTGAGTATTTGGAGTTGCAATGGGTTGACCACTATATCCGACAAAATGTTCCAGTCATGCCGGTCTCTGCGGTCTCTGCAGGCAGAGAGGGTGAACAAAAAAGCATTCATGGTGCTCAAACATCAGCTTCATGGTGTTTCCCATCGTTGTTGAAGAAGAAGAAGAGGTCAGGAGGTATGTTGTGCAGAAAAGTGATAATGCAGCATTTCTCTCCCCAAGAACTCTTTTCTTACCTCCATCCAATTTACTAAAAGTACAAGGAATTGGTGCAGGTTTGCATTCTAGTGTGCTTGAGTCATGTAATTGGCCTAAAAACAGGGCATTTTCCTGTACTTTTATCTGTTTGTGAACTTTTACCTATGCCTACAGCTTATCTTTTGCTCTTTAAGTTTTGTATATTTGCTTGGTGCTAAACTTGTCTTTTGATTGTGAAAGAATGTGGTCTTTTCCGATTTCTTGCACTACTTACTAGACCATAACTTTTCTTTGCTTTCATTGTTCATTATAATTGGAGGCATACTGAAATGTACCATTGTGATGCTTTCCAGAGTCTTAGGAGACATAGCTTATGTTATTGGACAAAGGACGCCATCGTTTACACACCAATTGTCACACGATATTGCATAATAGGAGAAACTTCTTGAATTCTGGTAGGCTTAATTGGTTTAAGTAGGATGATGTTTCTGTTATGTTTGTACTGACCCCTTCTATTTAGTTTACATAGATCTAATTGGGCTGCTGCTTCTGATATGATCCCAAAAGTACATACCTTTAGTTTTTTAAGCTGCAGTATCGGTTTTTCTCAATGCACTGCCATCACTAGTTTGTTATATTGTTGGTTTCTGGTTGGCAGATGAATTTTTATTGAGTTGAAGTTTCATTTCTTAGCATTTATTAATTCTAATTTGAATTTGCTTTTCATTTAGGCCATGTCCTCGCTTAAAGGTAGGGATAATACATTAGAGAAGATTTGAGGAGGCTTTCAGATGATTCCTCTGTTCCAGCTGTAAGACTGTTTGTTGCCATAAATTCAACTCTCTAGTTCTGGCTTTTATGAATCAAACGAACTGAACTCTAGCATTTTGATTGTTTTGCAGGATCCCGACCTAACCTGAAAAATGCAACAGACACGAAAGAGGCACAAATCCCTCCGGAGCTTATCACTCGATGTGTAGCTACTCTGCTCATGATTCAGCTGCTTTTTGGGTGTACATCTCTAAGATCCTTTATTCCCATCTTGTCTCTTTCTTTGCTTCATAGAGGGCCCACTTGTGATGATGTTTATATTAGAAGTTTGATCACTTGGACGATTCCCTTCCCCTTTTCCTGTTAAAACTACAAGCTGTGCATATTTTGGTTTATATTTTCCTTATGGCTTATTATCAGTTCAAAGTACTGAATCTCAGTTTCAATAAAGTGGATATTTATGGCTATTAAATTGTAGCCATAATGAAGTTACTGACTCAATCTAGCAACTATTCGTATAATGGGATCACTCCCTTGTTTTGCTTTTTTCAATGAATTAAGGAGGAGTTGAAACTAATCTCAAACTTCGTTTAACTGATAATGAAGCTCACCCTTCACTTGCTTGCTGCTGTTAGGTTTGCATCATATTTTTGAAATATTTTCTTTGTCAACTCCATTTATTGGTTAGAAAGTTCTTTCCGCAGTTGTAGGAATGACACGACTAGAATATCAGTTCTCTATTCGAGAATTGAACATCTGTGCGTACAATGTTTTAAATGCTCTTCATTCTACAATTTGTTGTTTTGTTTTCTTGTGATGTACACAGTTCGACCTTTTTGCGAATGTATACTTATTGGCTTAATATTGCAGTCATTTATTGCAAAAATGTACAGAGAGGCAGTTTCCACTAGCTGATGTGGCGCAAATATTGGATTCTGCAATTACAAGCTTGAAGCCTTGCTGCCCACAAAACCTTCCAGTTTATACTGAAATACAGAAGTGCATGGGAATTGTCAGGAACCAAATATTGGCGCTTATACCTACTTAGCCAATAAAACTTGGACGTATTTCTTTTTCATATCTGCAATGTAGTAATTGATTTGATTGCCATCTTAGCTTCTAAGGCTACCATGACAAAGTTTTCTGTTTGTACCCACCAACATCAATGCAATGAATTATCACTTCCATTATACTTCGAATAAGGCCATCTATGTTCAAATCCATGATAGATTTGCCTCTTACTTCCTGTTGTTAAGTAGATTACCTAGCCATTAGTTCTCCTATGGTGATAGACACGAACAAGTTGTTGGGCCCTTTCCAATTATCAAAGCTTTTGCGGCTGTTGAATGGATTGTGCAGGATCCTTTTGGAATCACAGTTTTGGAGCAGGCAAAGGGAGTTTTTGCTTCTGCACTTACCTAACCAGAGGTTTATAATTTTCGAATGCACTTGGAAGCCAGAGATTGTTGTCTCGGCCTGAATTTGCACACATTGCTAGCAGCAGTAGATGTTCACTCAATATTCAAAATATTGTGTATTGATCTAAGAGCTTTAGTTGTTTTACGCCTTTTAAACAAGATAGAATTTTTGTTATTGTTGCTCACTGCCTGCTAGGCTACAAAGACCCGGAAAACATGGGATTTCTTGATAATGGAAGTATTTCCCAGTTCAGGAAAAAAGAAAAATGAAAAAGACATTAATTGAAGGGCAAACTATTTTTAGTACAAGGTTGGCATGAAAAAAGTAGAGATTGAAATACCTCTCCTTTTAACCAAGATGAGTTGGCCATTAGGTGAAACATAAGATGCAGGCGACTAGAGGTGAGAAGTTTTAACATTGAAAAAAAAAATGGTCTACTTTTATTTACAAATATGACTAAAGAAAGAGAAAATTTTTGGTTCAATCCCTCACGTTTAGGGAGAGTTTTTTTTTTGGGTCCCTCATTTTTGAAAGGTATAATTACAAAAACACCCCTGAGGTTTGTGACACATCACATGGTATCCCTAAATATTGAAAAATACCACCTACATCCCTTATTTTCAACTTCTTCCAACTTTGTCAACCTATTCCGACAAATATGATTTAAAAACTCATTTTGGAAGAGATAAGACATTTTCATTCCAAAATTACCCTTTCTTGTGGAGCTTTAGCTTTCATAACAAACCAAATTAATTTCTTAATAATGAAATTAAAAGACTTTTTATAGTTTTCGATATCATCTATCTAAACAAAAAAAGGAGAAAAAATTAGAAACTCTAAATGATTTAGAAGACTCATATGAGTCATCCAAAAATTGTTACAGTTAAAAAAAAAGGACTTTTTGCACCTCAAATAAATTTCTAAATATATGGTTAGTAATTTTATCTTTTTCTTGTTTTCAAGCCATCAATTTGGACAAAAGGTTCAAACATTCAAAATATTCTAAACAATTTGTAGAATCCTTAAATTCATCCAAAACACTTTGCAACAAACAAAATAACTTTTCTTTGAAAATGCCTTAACTGAGTTTGTAAACTTAATTTTAGACATTGTGTCCATTTTTTATTTTCAAATCATTGACCTATACACAAAATTTAAAAAATTCCAAAGATTCTTAAAATTAATAAAACTCCTCCAATTAACGAAAACCCTTACAATAAATGAAATATTTTTTCAGCTTGAACAACCTCAAACATAATCTTTTGTACCTTAAAAACATTTGCTAGTATATTTTATCTCACCAAAATTACACCTGCACACTATTTTTTTTTTATTTTCAAGCTTTTAGTACTATAGTTTCACTTTTGAAAAACTAGTTGGACAACACAAGGGCAATTTTGGCATGATAACATCTTCGTTCTCAAAAATGAGTTTAATAATATATTTTGAAATGGACTGATAAAGTAGTTGAAAATAAAGGAGATAGGTGATATTTGTCAAAGTAAAGTGTTCCATGTAACATTGTCATTACCTTATGAGAGGTTTCCGAAAGTACCCCTTTTAAAATGAAGCAAATTAGTTTCTCACCTTCTAAAAATAAAGCAAACTATTCCCAAAATGACAACCTGATATATATATATATATATATATATGTATATTATAGGAACAAAATTAGACCGTCACTTTAGTTTTTGTGGAATCTAGGTACATGTCATATGCGCATGACATTAGGTTGACATAAAAAGGAAAACAATTTAAAAATTATAACATATAAACAAATCGTTCTCTCTAATTTTTTTTTTTTTTTTGAGAAAATGATATTCGGCCAACATAAAAAGGACAGTGTATATGTGTGTAGAACTTGTATTTACAATATTGAAATTACAGTTAACTTGAGAGTTTTGGTTTTTTTATTTTCTTTTGGAATTGGTTTTTTAATATTATACCTATCGGATTGTAGTTAACTACAGGTTTGTAAAAATATTCACTGTTACTTCAATCTGACGGCACGCCGTATCGGTTACAGCAGCAGCAGCAAGAGCAAGGCGCACACTATCGGCTGCACCGGCCAAAATTTCAAACATTCATTTTTTTTGGCTTCCAAATATGAAAAAGACGTGGAAGGAACGGCAATTTATACAGCGCATTTCTTTGGTTCAAGGATAGAAAAGGAACAGAAGGGCGTTATTGTCAACCATCTCTTCATAATCGAGCATTATACTAAGGCGTTGTGTCTTAGTTTATGTTACAAAAAATCAAACACAGCAATTCATGCAGCGCATTTCTTTGGTGCTAAGGATAGAAAAGGAATAGAAGGGGTTATTGTCAACCACCTCTTCATAATCAGGGCATTATAGTCAAGCAACAAACACACAACCCGTTGCCTGCCCAACTGGTCAAGTATCAGGCCCTTGATTAAGATTTTAACAATCTCCAAATTGACGCAAATACCCACCTACTCATGGTGCCCATAAGGGGCCATGAGCACTATTCACACTCCTGATTCCCCCTTTTTGTTTGCCTTTTATTGATATATATACTAATCATTATCATTACTATATAAAAAATACCATGAATCTTGGTATTTTGGAGTGTAAATTTAAGTATTCTTGTAATCTTCGTTTTTGTTATTTCAATTATGTCCTTGTTAATTGATGATTGAAATTTCAGTATACTCTTTTTAATTTATTATGATAATTAAAATTCATTATACCATATCTATTGATTTTAAAAAATAATAGTTGATGATAAGACAAAATGTTAAGCATTAGAGATTAAGCCGAATTTGGTTTAGTTTTCTATTTGTCCAAAATACCATTCTCACTAATAATTATTTAACAATAGGAATAATTGTAGTAGTCAGGGAAAAAAGTCTAACCTTAATTAAGTTTGAATTATGAAGACAATAAATAAAATATAACACTTCAAACCAATGTATCTCTTTACATTCTATTTCAGTTTTTTTTATTTTATTATAAATTCTTGATTAATCACAGCCTAATTAAAATTTCAAATCGTCAAAAATATTTCTATTGATATCAAAATAAGGTGCTCTTAGGATAATAGAATCTTTGTCATTTATGCTTTACATTAGATTCTGTCCCAAAAATAAAAAAAAAAGAAAACAAAAGAAAAAAAATAGAAGAACTCAATTATCTCTTTCAATGAAATTTCAATTCTCAAAAAACGAACAATTAGATGAAAAAAATTTATATGTGGTAAATCATTTGCACTCCATTGTTAACAGAAATAACACACAAAATAATATAAAGAGTTCAAATTAAAAAAATATACATTTTTTTGTTTTTCAAACGACAGTGCATGTAACTTCATATTGAGAAATTTCATTAAGATACTAACAAATTCAATTTAATAGCACGAAAAATAATAATGATGGAGTATGCAACCAATATTTATGCAAACAATTATTTTTATTTTATTTTTTTACCCTCCTACCCCTCCTTAACAATTAGCAAACATAACCTTTGGTTTGCATGCAAATTTAGGCCACCCAACTCTAAAAGAAAACAAAAAGTTGTACGTGTATCTAATTAAAAATCAAACAATGTTAGTGACATTATCACAATTTGTTTGTCATGGAAAAAAAAAAAAGAAGTAATTAGAAGTATCAATATTATACATACCATTCATAATATTGATATTTTTGTCAAATCATTTCATATTTGATCAAATCTTTATTTTTTAAAAAGTTAATTTTACATCTTCTAATTAATTGTCCTTAAAACTATTATTTTAAATTGAAAGAGGTTATAGGTATCCTCATTTATTAAAAATTCTTTAGAGATTTTATATGAATTTATAGATATAACATTTTGCGAACTTTTTTTTTTTGCTTTTAAAATGATGGTTTTAAGGATAATTAATCAAAGAAGATAAAAAATTAAATAAAAAAGGAAAAAATGCAGATATTAAATTTTTTAAAATAATTTTCACAAACAAATTTAATGTAATGTACTAATACTAATATTTATATATGTAAGAATAATTATATAGAAAATGTAAACAAAATTACTATCATACTTACATATATACAGTGCAGCAATAAAAGAATAGATAATTTTCCAGCCGTGGTAGTGTAAAGTTACTTGAATTTGGAAAAGAAAATCATAAATAAATGCATTTATTTCTATTTATTATATTTGAATTCAAAATTGATTGGCATGGAAATGAAATAAAAAATTATTATTGTAGTTTTTATCAAATTCATGCTACTGTAATAGAGTGTCTCGTCTAAGGAACATATTACCGTATTTGAATTACCTTAATTACCTAGCGTTTGCTCAATACAAATGTGTTTGTCAAAAACATATTCCCAAAAAATTGTCCCTCGCCTCTGACCACCTGTCTCATCGCCTCCCTATAGTCCCTCCTTTCCCGACTCCTGACCACAGTTTCTCCCTTACCCCCTCCCACTTTCCACCCTTTTTTTCACTTTTTGCCCTAACCTAATGTGGCCTGCACACCCTCTTCCGCGAACACAAAGCGGAGGTGAAATGAGGTACTTTTTTGGTGTTCTTTTTTTTTTTTTTCTGGATATTTTGGAGTATCTTCAGCAAGTTAGTGTAGATGTTTTTTACAATTTATTTGTTTTCCTAAAATACTCCAAAAACACGGATGCTAAACAAAAACCTAGCTTTTTAAAAACATTTTTATTTTAAAAGCCTGAAAAGATTTTGGCTTTACCACTAGTTTAAAACTTCCAGAAGGATTAATAATTAAGATTAAACAATAATGTTTTAAGTTTATCTCCAGAAGGACTAACAGACGAGTTGAATTGCCATTTTCCTCTTTCGCATGTTTGCCATCATACCTTATTGTCCCTCCGGATTGGAACGTACTCGGTCAGGAAAGAGATGAAGGCCACAGCAACAACATGATTAACAAAACTCAAGTGAAAATGCCAACCAACTTTGCCAATGAAGCAGTGCACTTCTACACGTATTAAGGGCTCACATTTGGTCCCATCATTATCCTTTTTGGTTATTAGAGCATAATACTAGAAATATGTGTGTGAAATATTTCACTTATTATGGCGATGTACACTTTCAACGCAACGAATGCACAATTCAAACATGAGTTTATGTTGTAATGAATATGTAAATAAGAGTTACATTATAGAGCACAATTGTTAAGGCACTTTTTATCTATTCAATGAGATTAACACAAATGCACCATCGTTCAAGTTATTCTTTGTCTAACGCCATTATTCAAGCACTTCAGCAACAGGCGAGAGATGTGTAATTATGTTCATGCCCCTTTCTTGATAAGATGGAAGCAAATGCATCATTCAAGTTATTCTTGGCCAAAATTCGTTCATCATTTTTTTTAAAGAATAATAAGAGAGTGACAATGGCACGCCAACGGCCAATTCCCCATGAAAGTGACCTCAACATCCTTAGTTGTGTAAAGTTTAAAAGACTCGCTTCTCGATAATTTTACAATTTATTCAGAATACTTCATATCTCAAGATTCCATTGATTATTATTTTCTCTTTTCAAAAATAAAGGTTCAAGTAATTTGACATCACAAGCCTGAGATACAAAGGTAATTGTAAGTGTTTTACATGTTTTTCAACTTAAGAATGCGTTACATTTTGTGGACGATGTTGAGCTCTTATTTTAAGAATGCGTAACTGATTAAATAGAATGAGACACGGAGGTCATCGTCCATAAATCAGGCTACTTTTTGAAGCCAGTTCCCAAAACGTGATGGGTTTCAAACAAACGTAATCAGTGAATGCGTTTTTTCAGGAAAGGCATACGCTAAATGCAATGTTTAAAATTTTAAGAAAAAATATAGTTTTAGTCCCTACTATTTAATCTACATGCAATTTTAGTTTTTAAAGTTTTGATAAAAGTAAATCTGGTCCTCAATATTTAGTATATGTATAGTTTTAGTCCCTATAGTTTTGGCAATAGCAACTCCGATCTCCAATATTATCAATTTGAAGCATTTTTAGGACAACTGGTGAATTTTTCTAAATATTGATCGAATCAGTCATGTTTGGTCACATATTTGTTGAAAAACTTCTTAAAATTTAGTGAAATAACAAGTAATCTTGAACAGTAAGAATAACTTGCACGCTAGCACATTAATAACTAATTAATCAAGAGAAAAAGAAAGAAAATTTGTTAATCTATAACTAAAATTAGGTATTACAATTTTTTTTTTTTGCTTGGAGACACGAGGGATAGTCAATGAAAATGAATTTTGGATCAATGAACTAGGTACATTGAAGTTTTAGTTTAAAAATTTTCCTTCTTTAACTATTTAATTAGTTAGCACATGAGTTATTAGTTTTCAATTTTGTTGCTTCAAGTTAGCTACTCTTTTGCTTCTTTATTTTGAAATTTAAATTAATAGGCAAATGACTAGACGTGGCTCTATTTTGTTAGTAATTGAGATAAAAATTCTTCAAATGTTCTAAACCAGATTCAAATTGGATATAATGGGGACCAGATTTGCTCTTGCTAAAATTTTATGGACTAGAACTGTAGACGTGCTACATATTAAGGATCATGTATGCTGTTGTTAAAAGTTTAAGGACTAAATCTGTACATGGGCTAAACATTGAGGACTAAAACTATATTTTTTCCAAAAATGGAAAATTTTTGCCTTCGAAGAATGAAAAGTGGGATTCAGCAAATGCAATTTTTTAACAATTGGGGTCGGTCTAGTGGCCAAAAGAGAGCCTTTAGAGTTTTTATGATTGTTAGATTTAGGGTTTAAATCCTATATCTGATAATTGAGAGCAGGAAAGGTATAGGAATGGGTGGGAGGGTTAAGAAAAATGCAACTTTTCTCAAACGTTGCAATTACAAAATATGTTTTTCACCCTTTGGGAAGAAGTTTGAAAAACATCATTTTTAGGATTTTTTTTTTTAAAAAAAAAACTAGCACTCATTCGGTATATACTCCATCATCCACTAGATAATTCTATTTGCAAAACCAGCCAACTAGCAAAATAAGTAATACATTGACAAATTGGTCTTTTCCAATTTGATTGTGATCATAGTTCATTGTCCCTCCTGGATGGAACTTTAAGTTACACCACTTTTCCAACAGTCATTCAGATACATTCAGATTAAAGGGTTCCGGCATTCAATCAGTAAAGATGAAGGCCCCATCAACAACACGGATTGAGGGCTTTTATAAATCCATCACACCATTTTTGTTATTTCTTGTTAATAAAACGTAATTGTATTGGAAGTTGAGTTGGAGCTTGGGACAGTTGACATGTACGCATATGAACTGTCTCACAGATTATGGTGATTATACACCTTCAATGCAACGAATGTACAATATTTTAAGCATGAGTTTCGTGTTGTAATGAATATGTAAATAAGATTTGTCTCAAGCAATTATGCCTAATAAGATTCACTTTGGAAAAGCATTCAATGAGAAAAAGGTGAAGACCCCAGCAACAAGGCAAGCATCCAACTTTGCCAACGAAGCAGTGCTCTACACGAATTGACGGCTCATTATTTCTTGGACCCATAAATATCTCTCCGGTTAGTGTGAATGCAGCAAATTAATATGCAAATGAGAGTCACATTATGGTTAATTAATCTTGGCCATAAATTATCTCGGGCAATTTTGCCCTGTAATTATTCAGGCTTTCTTTACACATTTAATGAGATTGAGACAAATGCACCACAAAAGTTTTTCTTTATCAAAGTGAAACAGTTTGACAAAAGCAAAGAATATATAATTATTGATGCCCTTTGATGTCAAGATTGAAGCAAAATGCATCTTTCAAGTTACTAACCCCACCGACCGATTTTTTTTTTTTTTATTTAGAAAAAGGAAAGAAAATTGGATTGTAGGTTGAAAATCCGACACCAATCCCGCATGAAAGTGCACACAAAATCCTTGGTTTTGTGAAGCTTAAATGGATCAATTCTGAACTGATGATTATTTTACAATTCCTTGATGATTGTTCTCTTCAGAAAATATACGTTCAAGTAATTTGAGATCACCAATTGACTGAACATGGTCTCTTTGTGGGTCCTCCTTAGATTGCTTTCGTGATCGATTTTCCGACGACTCCTGCATTGGTTTAAATCAGCAGTGTGTGTGTTTATTTCGTTTCCGAAAAAAAAGTAAATTGAGATCACAAGTTTGGTAACTGAGACACAAACCTATGAACCATCCACTTTATGTCTCTATTCTTAACCAGCAAAGAAGCAAGGTAGCTGGTCCAAAAAGAAGATTCCCTGTTTGTTTGTAATAAAAATGACTCCCACCGTAGAATAAAGCAGGAGCACTCGAAGACTTATCTTAGAAGCACTTCAAATTCTTTTCTTCTCCTTAACATATTTGCTTTTAGGTGATGCCGCTGAAGAATTCCTTCTTATCTCATTGCAAAAGGCATCCTGATCATCACCTTAACTGATACCAGAATACTAAGCCTCATGAATGAGACACGAAGCTGATCATCCAAAAGAAGATCCAAAATAACTGTTAATTATAAAGTACTAATTGGGCAATGTAGAACCCTGGAAAAGCATTCAATCAGAAAAAGGTGAAAACCCTAGCGACAAGCTAAGCACCAATTCCTTTGGAAATTAAAGCATCCCACTTTGCCAATGAAACACTACTCCACACGGATTGAGGGCTCATTATTTGTCACATAATTATCGTCATTATCATTAAAGGTGAAGACTGTTAGCTTCCTTATAAAACCCCCGTCAATAAAAAAAAATTCATCTCACTCTTCCTTCTCTTGACCACTAACACTCTGGTGGAGCGAAAATAGAGAAACTATTTGTGCCGTCTTTTTACTTCAAGATCAGGTAACCTCCTCTTCTATTCATAGTTTCTTCATAGTATTATGGATACATTGACATGGGGTGTATGATGGAATTCTTTTTTGTCATATGAATTTCCAAAATTCCTTAATGAATTAAATTTATACTCTTTTTAGTTGTTTTCTGGATACTTGATTGTGCTTTTTCTTAAATACTTGATAGCTTATTCTTTGGTCTTCTACATGATTATATGAATAATTATACGGCTTCAATGATTTTTCAAAATTATCCCTATTTAACAATCCTGGACAAGTAGGATGAGAGATTATGATATATGTATTGCTAGGAAAGTTTGTTAATTTGCATTTAGATCAAAGTTTAAACAAGTTGGATAATTGATAATTTATTCCCGTTGAATCATCTTAGACATCAATTTATGCTGCACTTAGTACTGATCTTAATCACTTACAACTATGATCAGATTATCACCAATTAATGGCTTGGCATAATCCCTCACAACAACTTTTGCCGGTTCTTTTAGACGGAGCAATATACTCGTAAGGCAGCATACGACATGAAATAATTGATTTTTTTTCCAACTAGTATTGGGTGGCAAACTATGATCATATTTTAAGGACCTCGTATATATAGTAAGGTTGTCTGATTAGCAACAAATTTATTATTTTAGTTACCTACTGACTCATAAAAATAAATACACTAACATTAATACTTTCAGATGGATAAGAAATCACACGAAGATTCAAATCAGTTTCACATCCAACAAAAACAATGACAATTAGTTGGTGTTGACGTTATTTACCATGTAACAAAATTGATCATGCCTCAAAGGATTTGTTGCACAAATTATGTTGAATGACCCATTGGGTATCGATCTAAACAAAGTCAGAATGTGCGAAAGGAAATATTGATGCAACTTAGAACAAATCAGATATGTAGACTCGACAAACATTGACAAAAAATTCCTAATTTTGGCCAACTTGGATATATAAACTTAAATGGTGATGTGAGGTGAAAAATTAGGGGCAACATGGAGGAACACTGGTCTAGGGGAATTATATGATAATTGTAGTTTTGATGGAGTAAAATAATAAGCTCTTGACTTAGGTTCCGTTTGATAAAACTGAATCTGAATTTTGAAGTCTGAATTCTAAAATCTGAATACTGAAACAATTAATTTGCTGAATTTTAAGTATTGAAAAAAATATGTGAATGTCTGAATTTTAATGCTAAACCTATTTATACTGTTTGATAAATATTTATAGCTGAATGCTTAATAAGTTTAATTTGACAATTTTGTCCTTATATCCTTTTATTCAAAAAAGAAATAGAATCTATGATTTAATTAGTTTAAAATTGTTAGGTATAAAAATGACAATATTTATTTTTAAATCAAATTAATATAAAAGATGAAATATATTATATAAGGAATATGGAGAAGATGTGAAAGTCATTAAAAAGGGAGAAAAGAGAAACTAAAAATCGTTAGATAGAGAATATTAGATTGTTTAATTAGATAAGAATTTTGAATATAATTAACAAACAAGGGTAGATTTGGTAAATAAAATAAGGTAGTTGAATTAATTCTATTGATTCTTATCAGAATTAAGCATTCAGTTAGGATTCTTGCACTGAAAAAAATACACACAGGTTCAGCACTGCTTAATAAGTTTAGCAAATAGATTTTCATTTATCAAACGCTCAAAACATCTGAATGTCTGAAAAAATTCAGATTCAGCACTTTTTTATGTTATCAAACAGACCCTTAAACCTGAAGGTGTTTAAATTTCCTTTGGCTTAAAGGCGTTTAAACTTGAAGCTGTCAGTTTTGTTGCAATTATTTACTTTAGAAGAACTTTTTAATATAAGGGCACGGTTGTAAAACTAACAAAGAAGACAATCTTTTCCTTTCACTCCTCCCAAGTCTCAAACAAAACCAAAAAAATCATTTCTTTTCTTTTCTTTTTTAAGCTCCCAAACAACATTGAAGGAAAGTTGTCTAACTTAATTAGTCAAACATTCTTTATGTTTATATATATATATATATATATATATATATATGTGACTCAATCCAAGGTTATGCAAAATTTAAAAGATTTAATAATCAACAGTTCTACAATTTGGACAAAGAATCTCCAGATTTCATTATTGACCAAAAGCAAGTAATTTGAGAACACAAGCCTCGCTACCAAGACACTAAGGTAACCATCCGCTACACCTGTCAAAATTTCTACTACACAGGAGGCAAATTAACTGGTTTAAAAAGAGGGTCTGATTTGTTTATTGATTTGCTATATAAACTTTTTGGTCCCATTAATTTTCGCTACCTTAATTCCCTAATTGAGGAACACTCCGATAAAAGTTTCACCACCTACTCAGATTGCTACAATTTATGAGTTCCAATTTTCTTTTCATCCGACCACAGTGGTTTAATTTCTTCCACAATTAAGGGCCCCACCAGTGATAAGTCAGATTGCGCTAAAATTATTTTGAGGTGACCCACACAATTTGATTAATCACAATTATACTAATTTAAATCTCATAGATCACCCACTAGAATCGTTTAACTCATCTCTCTCTTATTCTGGGCTTCTATTCTGATTTCTACCATTTGTTGCTGAAACATTCCTTCCATCTCTGATATCAGAAAACCTTTCGATCCAAGTTCCAATTCCAAGCAAGAAACAATGGTTGACTCTGCTATCAGTGCTACTGTTGAGGTTGTCTTGGGGACAGTTATTTCCATTGCTGCGGACCGCATTGGTATGGTTCGGGGAGTCAAAGCGGAGTTGGAGAGACTAAGCAAAACTGCTGCAATGATCCAAGGTTTCTTGGCTGATTGTGACGAGAACATGCATACCCAAGGGGTGCGAGAGTGGCTCAAACAGCTAGAAGATGAGGTTTTTAAAGCTGATAACGTGCTGGACGAGCTCAACTACGACAATCTCCGTCGGGAGGTGAAGTACCGAAATCAACCAATGAAGAAGAAGGTATGCTTCTTCTTCTCCTTCTTTGGTGCAATTGGTTTTAGTTCCAGCTTGGCTTCAAAGATCCGGGACATCAACACCAACCTAGAGAGGATCAACTGGCAGGCCAATGACTTGGGGTTGGTCAGAAAGCACCAAAAAGAAGCTGATGCCACTGGTTCCATGACAAGCAGACCGTCCGACTCTATTGTTGTTCCAAACGTTGTAGGAAGAGCTGGCGATGAGTCAAAGATAGTGGAGATGCTATTGACCCCATCTGAAAGAGTTGTCTCAGTTATTCTCATAACAGGCATGGGGGGCCTGGGCAAAACGACTCTTGCTAAATCAGTCTACAACAATACAAAAATTGATGAGAATTTTGGCATAAAGAGTTGGGTTTGTGTGGCTAGAGAAATTAAAATAGTGGAGCTGTTCAAACTCATTTTAGAATCGTTGACAAGAACAAAGGTTGAAGTGGATGGTAGGGATGCCATAGTTCAAGAAATTCGAGGAAAACTTGGGGAAAAAAGATTTCTCCTTGTTCTTGATGATGTGTGGAATTGTGAACAAGAATTCTGGAGTGACTTTTTCACCACGTTGTTGGGACTCAGCACAACTAAAGGAAGCTAGTGTGCTCTCACTACGCGTCTAGAACCAGTGGCTAATGCTGTGCCTAGACATCTGCAAATGAATGATGGTCCTTATTTCCTAGGAAAGCTATCAGATGATGCATGCTGGTCTATCCTGGAAAACTGGTAGTTGCAGGGGAAGAAGTACCAAATGAATTGGAAGCATTGAAGAAGCAAATTTAAAAAAAAATGTGATGGCCTCCCACTTGCAGCAAAGTTAATTGGAGGTTTGTTGCTTAACAGTGGGTTAGAGAAGTGGCAATCTATCGTGAAAGAGAGTCTTTTGAATGAATATCAAAGCCAAATTAATCAAGTACTTAAGGTGAGCTTTGATCATTTATCACCTCCATCAGTTAAGAAATGTTTTGCATGTTGCTCAATTTTTCCCCAGGACACTGAATTAGGAGAAGATGAACTAATTCAGCATTGGATTGCAGAAGGTTTTGTTCTAAAGAATAATAGAGTGATGGAGGAAACAGGAGGCGAGTATTTGAGGATTTTCTTGCAAAATTCCTTACTGGAAAAAGTCCAAGGGTCGTGGAGAACATACTATAAAATGCACGATCTCGTGCATGATTTTGCAAAATCAATTCTCAATCCAGAAAGCAGCAATCAGGATCGCTACCTTGCATTGAACTCTTCTGAAGGTTTGGCAGAAAATACCACAAGGACAATACCAGCATCAATTCGCACGTTATTTCTCCATGTAAAGGGTGGAATATCTGTTGACATGCTTCTAAGATTCAAGTATTTGCATGTTCTCAGATTGTATGGTGAAGAGGTGATTTTCTCGGTTGGCTAACTAAGACCGCCTGGCTCACGTCCTCTCTGAGATGAAGTGAGGCTGAACTCCTGTGTCGAAGTGAACCTCGGTGTCCGAACGTGTGTGGCGGGGCTTCTCCCCTGGGATCACTCCGACGATCACGTTAGTATCGAGAACTGGAGAATAATGAGAATCGAGTTAATAACAGTGTATGCCTTACTTGTGGGAGTGTGTAGTGAGTACTTTATAGATCAAGAGAGTGGTCAAACGAAGGCTCATGTAGCGCGGACCCACTCTCTGGCATTACGGCTCGTCTCCTGTCAGGAGGTCTGACTCTGACACGGTAGCCGCCTTGGGAGTGATGACCGGAGGATATGGTGCAGGTGCCATTAGTGCCTCCAGCTTGCTTTTCAGATTAAAGTGCTGTCCTGAGATGATGTCAGGTGGGTTGACATCATCAGCGTTGCAGGCCGAGAGTGGATGTGCCGAGGTCACCTACACGGTGGATATGCCGGATTGAGCGAGCTCTGGGGTTGTGCTCAAGACAGGGATGAGCTCCGATGAGGGACGAGACTTTTGTGGAGGGGCCGCGGGGGGAAGGGGTAGGGGGGGGGGGTTGGTGGGGGGTTCACCTCGGACACCCGCGTGTTTCGAGGTGAGCATCCTCAATAAGCCCCAAGCCTCGGGAGCTGTCGGGCCAGGGACGGTACCGAGGCTTCCTTCTGCGAAGTCGTTGAAGAGTCGGTGTCCCGAGCCTGCTCCGGAAGTGCCGGGACGTGACACGTGGGCCATGTCAAGTGAAAAGGACCTGAAAGATGTGAGTCGGCACGTAACCGTCACGTCGTGAAGTAGCTGGAACGTCTTCGTGCAGAGGTGTCAGTTACAACGAGCTGACTCCAAGGAGTTGTGGCGAGCGGATGGGCTGAGGGCCCTCCAAAGCTGGAAGGGCAACCTGGCAGGGTCCTGGCGAGTTCAACAAATGGCTGTCCGAACTCGACGAAGTGTTCGAGGAGGTTGAGAGGAAGGAAATGGTCAAGGACGAGGAGATGCGAGGGAGACGAAGCTGATGGGAGCGTCCTGAGCAAAGAGAGCCTGGAGATGAAGTTCACCCCGGCGGAAAGGAGGACCGAAGAGAAAGATGCCCAGGAGGAGCCAAGATCCGGGATTGGAGCGATACAGGGATGTAGCGCCAGTTAGGCTACTAAAAGGGCCGTCGGCCGAGGTGAAGAGTGTTTAGTAGACTCTACATCGGCTTTATATTTTTGTAACACTTCTGTTGGAAACTGAAAGTCTATTTCTTCTAACATCTCAGCTTCTTTAATTTCTTGCTTATGTTCTTGACTTCGATCCCTTGTTGTTCCCCTTATTTTCTTGATAGCGTAATAACCTATTGTTCTCAGCTCGTTAGCGAGGGGTAGAAACGCGGCGCATACCACCATTGATTATAATGGGCCGAGGTGGCCTCTTCGGGAGGGCACTGAGTAAGAGGCCGAGGTGGTAAACAGGGCAGATACCACCTTGATTTATAACTGGGCCGAGGTCAGGCTCTTCAGGGGCTGCCAAACTGAACAGTAAGGCGACGGTGTGTAAAACGGAGCAGATACACCATTGATTTATAATGGCCGAGGTGGCCCTTCGGGAGGTGCCGCTGAATAAGGCCTAAGTGGCCCTGCGGGAGGTGCCACTGATTAAGGCCGAGGTGGCCCTTCGGGAGGTGCCACTGAGGAAGGCCTGCCACTGATTAAGGCCGAAGTGGCCCTTCGGGAGGTGCCGCTGAGTAAGGCCTAAGTGGCCCTGCGGGAGGTGCCGCTGAGGAAGGCCGAGGTGGCCCTTCGGGAGGTGCCACTGAGTAAGGCCTAAGTGGCCCTGCGGGAGGTGCCACTGAGGAAGGCCGAGGTGGCCCGTCGGGAGGTGCCCTGAGTAAGGCCGAGGTGGCCCTGCGGGAGGTGCCACTGAGTAAGGCCTAGGACTGTCCGGACCAAAATGACCATCCTCACTACCCGTGCCAAGACCTCGGCACTAATGAGCCATTTCGGTAACTCAGTTTACAATACCCTTTAGGGTCAGATTCCACAACTCGGTAAGGGCCTTCCCATTTCGGGCATAATTTCCCCTGCGGCTCAGCTCGTCTGACTGAATTTTTCCTCAGAACCAAGTCTCCAGGCTGGAATTGAGCGGTGTCAGCTCAGCGTCCGAGGTGGACGATCTTCCTTTCACTATTCGATCGAAAATACTCCGGCGGTCCCGGAGTTGGGTTGAAGTGCCACTTGGGTCGGGTTCACCTCGGCCGGTGTCTCTCCTCCGGGGATCTGGCCCCGTACGAGATGCTTGGGCTTCTCGCTTCATGCGGTTCACATCCTCACTTCGGATTCCCTGGTCCACTCTATCCCAGAGTTCCCGAAGTGTACGGGGGTACTCCCGATGGATTTCAGTGTTGAAGATTCCCGCCACCAATCCGTTGGTAAAGGCCGCGATAGTTACCTGCTCGTTCTGGTCAGGTATCTGCATATTCTCCTCGTTGAACCTTTGAGTATACGAGCGAAGGGACTCGCCCTGACCTTATTGCAGGTTCAAGAGGTAAGCTGAATTCTTGGTGATTGGTCGAGATGATACAAAGCGGTGGATGAACCGGTCTATCAGCTCGTCCAGGGAGGAAATGCTCCCTGGTTCCAGACTCCAAAACCACTTCCGGGCAGTCCCATGTAGGAAGATGGGGAAATCTCGGCAGATCACAGCGTCGGGGACGCAGTAGAGTCGGAATGCGGAGATGAAGGCGCGGAGGTGATCCTCGGGGTCACCTCGGCCATCGTAGGTGTGCAAGTTTGGGAGCTTGAAGTTCGGGGGAACCATCTCCCCGTTGATGTCATCAGTAAAGGGCGGAGCCCTCATGTAGTCAGAAGCTAGACCCCCGGGGCGCCGAGGTGGGTCTTCAGCTCGTTTCCCTAGCAGTCCCCGGGAAAACGCCCGGGAGATGGAGGCAAGCTTAGAGGTCGCCTTGGAGGAGGCGCGCCTGGAGGTACTCCGAGAGAGTCGCCCCTCATCGGAGTCTTCACCTGAAGGTACCTCAGGGGACTTCGTCGGCCTCCTCTTGGAAGACTCGGCCTTTTCTTTCCCCTGCCTTTTGAGGTACCTTCCTAGCTCCTCAAAAATGGTAGGGTTGTGCGATACGAACTCGGCCATCTTGGCGATGGCATCATCGTTGTTGGGCTGGGTCCTTTGGTACCCTGGTTCTTCAGATATGCGATCTTGCTGGGCTCCCGAGGTCTGCCCAGCCCCGTTGGAGGGAACTCTTCCGCTTCTAGAGCGCGTGGATCTCATTTTAGCAAGTCTCGTTCCCACAGACGGCGCCAATTGAAGAGGTGATTTTCGGTTGGTAACTAGACCGACCTGGATCAGTCCTCTCTGAGATGAAGTGAGGTGAACTCCTGTGTCCGAAGTGAACCTCGGTGTCCGAAGTGAGTGGCGGGGCTTCTTCCCTGGGATCACTCCGACGATCAAGTTAGTATGAGAACGAGAATAATGAGAATGAGTTAATGAATAGTGTATGCTTACTTGTTGGGAGTGTGAGTGAGGTATTTATAGAAGAGAGGTGGTCAAGACGGAAGGCTCATGCTAGCGGGACCCACTCTCTGGCATTACGGCTCTGTCTCCTGTCAGGAGGTCTGACTCTGACACTGTAGCCGCCTGAGAGTGATGACGGAGGATATGGTGCTGGTGCCATTAAGTGCCTCCAGTGCTTTTCAGATAAAGTGCTGGTTCTGGATGATGTCAGGTGGGTTGACATCCTCAGCGTGCAGCCGAGGTGGATGTGCCGAGGTCACCTACACGGTGGACTAGGGATGAAGCCGAGCTCTGGGATTGTGCTCAAGACAGGGATGAGCTCCGATGAGGGACGAGACTTGTGTTCACCTCGGACACCCGCGTGTCCGAGGTGAGCATCCTCATATCGGCAATGATGTCAAGTTTCTGCCGAGCTCCATTGGCAAACTACCAAGTTTGCGGTTGCTCGACATATCATCTTCTGGAATCAGAAGTTTGCCGGAATCTCTTTGCAAGTTATATAATTTGCAAACACTAACTATGAGAGATGATGTACTTGAAGGAGGTTTTCCAAAACGGATGAGCGATTTGATCAGCTTGGGACATCTAAACTACAACGATGATGATGCAGAATTTAAAATGCCAATGCAGATGGGACGATTGACTCGTCTTCAAACTCTGAAATTCTTTAATGTAAGTCAAGAGAAGGGTTGTGGCATCGAAGAGCTTGGGAGCTTGACATATCTGAAAAGATCGTTGAGTGTAAGAAATCTTGGACTAGTGAAGGGCAAAGAAGCAGCAAAGCAAGCAAAATTGGTCGAAAAGCCAGATCTGTCTGAGTTGGAG